AATTTATATATATATATAAAAAAAAAACCACCCCACATTTGTGTCATCCAACTAATATCTAGTAGAAAGATGGCTGTTTAGAGAAAAGGAAGCTGACTGGCATCCCACTGCTGATACACTGAATGATTCCCCTGTCCCTTGGAGCTGCTGTCACCCAGCCACGCGCCGCTGGCGGACGCGGGACTCGAGATTTATTTAGTTTTTATTTTTTCTTTAAACAAAATACATATGGCTGACGTAAAAATATCCGTTTCTGAGCTAAAGAAAACTAGATTTATTTTTTTTTTTTGCATAATATTTATATAGATTTCTCCCCCCCCGACCCCCCCAATATGGAAACTAGAACAACAACAACGAAAAAAATATAGATCAACTAAAGAACAACCAGACCCTTGTGACAACCTGCCAGTCACAGATTTCTGGGAGTGACTTTGAGAGCCTCCAAAGTTGGCTTGGTGTTGGTTTAAGTCTTTTTTTTTGTTTGTTTATTTCACTTTTAAAACAGGTCTGAGGTATTAAAAAAATATCAAAAGAAAAAAATTGGTGTGTCCCCCCTCAAAGTATTTAATAAATAGTTATGTAAGCTTGATAAGAGCACCATATTTTCATCCTTTTTTTTTTTTTTCTTTTTGCAAGTATTTATAATAGAAAAAGTGATCTTTAAGCAATGTCACCGTTAGCACAGAACCAAACCCCACAACCACCCCTTTTTGTCTTTCCTGTCACCCCCAAAAAAACACCACACACACCCACATCCCCCCAGTCCTGCCCAAGGTTCTTTTTTCAGCTCCTGCAGAGGAGAAAGGGGGAGGGCAGAGGTGGGTTTGTCTGCATGGGCCAAGGGGCTCAGCCTTGAATTTGTGACTGAGATGGGCAGTGGTGGCAACTTCTTCTTGCTGTTGGCAGTGTACAGAGCCCAGCCTTCACCCCTGGGCCAGCACCGAGGTGGGAGTCCGGGGAGAAGGACCTTTCCTCAGCAACCTGGGGCAGGAATGGGGCCACCTCGTCCTTCCCTCCTCCTCCTCCTCTTCCTCCTCCCACCCCCAAGGAAGGGACGAGTGGGTGCTGGGCTGGAAATGAAACAAAGACACTTGGTTTGTGTTTAAGGAACACTTAATTCTTGGCAAAGTCGTGGGCCCTCGCGTGGCAGGAGGTGCTGCAGGCAGTGCTCGGAGAAGGCACGGGAGATTCTGCTGTGCGTTCTTCAAGGAAAGGAAAGAAGAGACCAGCCAGCCCCCTGCACTCCCTGAGACCTCTCTCTCCTTCCAGGGATGGAGGCTGGGCAAAGACGGGGGCGTTGTACAGCCAGTGACAACCAGGTTCTCTCTGCTTCCAACCAAGCCCAACAGGAGGAAGGACAGAAGGCAGCAGAGCTTCTTCCTCCAGCCCTGCCTTACCTGGGGCATCAGCAAGAGCCCACGGGAAAGAAACTAAGCCCAAGCAAAGCAGCCTCCTGCTCAGCCCCATGGCTTCACGAGAGGGTCACTTCAGAGCCAGCTTGCCCAGGACACCTGGGGCCTCTGCTCCAATAAAACAAGACTCTCCCAAGAGACTGAAAGGAGGCAGGACACACGGTGAAGAGATGACCTTCAAGAAAGCAGCAAGTGAGGCAAAGCCTCCACGCAGCACCTTCTCTGGAAGGCCTGCAGCCAGCCAGCCAACCAGCCACCTCTGTGAGGAGTTCCCTCCGCTGGCAAATCAGCCACAGAAGTGCTATGGAAATCAAGGGTCCTTCCATGGGCCGTGGAGCCTCCCTCTCTGCCACCAGCTAAAGTCACAACCTGACTCATCCCTTCCATGATGTAGGAGTTGACCCACTGGCCTGTCAATAACCCGATGCTTGTTCTCCATTCAGCCTAACGATGCTTCAGCAGAGCTGACACTAGAGCTAGTGGGCATCCTCTGGGGTTCCTCAGCAGTTAACCAGAGCTTCTACTCCAAGGCTGAAGGATTATTCAACCCAACAGTGCAGACAAGTCAGAAAGGGCAAAAGTCCCTCTGCTCTTGCTGGCAGGAGCCATTCAACCTTTGCAAGGCTCTCACCCCACGTTTCATAGCCGGTCAAGAGCAGAGCAGATGCATCTCTGAAGACTCCCTGGGAAGGAGCCCAGTTTCTCACAACCATGAGGTTTTTCTTCACCACCCTTCCACTGCGAGTTCACCTTGCTTTGTAGACAAACCAGAATCTTTTATCCATCCAGCAAGGTTACAGCCAAGTCACCTTTGCTCCTTGTCTACCCAATTACTGCTTTGGAAACAGAGAGAAAGAGAGGTGTGCACACACAGAGGAGGAACTGTAAAGGCTAGGTACCATTTTTCAAGGTGGAAGACTGGTTACATCCCTGTATCTATCAACCTGTAAGTAAACACCTTCCCCCTGGCTAGGCTTTTATGTTTTCACACTGGAGTGCTGACTCCCCCACTCTGAAGTGACCTGGGGGGAGGGCAGGGGGGCAAATCCCACAAGCAAAGACCCAACCCCAGCGTTAGAAGAAAACCTTAAAAAAACCACAAGTGGAAAAAAAAAAAAACAAACCAACAAAGTCACAAGTGCACCCCAGCTCTTGGGCTGAGAGCGTGCGTGTAAGACTACAACAATTTCAACTTTCCTTGAACATGCATTTTTTTTTTTTTCCAAAGTGAAAACCCCCAACAGACGCATGGAGCCCAACTCTTGGAGAGGAAATAATCTGGCTGCTTCATTTGGGTGAGTACCACTGAAAAAAATTAGGGATGGAGATGCATGATTTTGGCTTCGCCTCTCTCCCAACACCCAGCATCGTGGTACTCTGGTTCCCATTGCTAAATACCAGTAAAAAAAAAACCCCCAAAAAACCAAAACCAACCCCCAAAACACCAAAATGATATACGTATGAGCAGTTTGACACGAAGTGACCGCTGTGTGTGATCAGTTCCTGGTGCCACTATCACACAGGGCGAGGGACGAAGGTGAAGGAGGAGGGAGGGTTCCAAGTTCTGTGGTCAAACTGATGTCTCCAAGCTGTGTAAGGGGCTTTCAGGCTCCGGGAAGGTGACCTCAGCTTGATCGCTGTCCACTGCATTGTTGTTTCTGTTGAGGGATGTAGATCCACCCAGGCTACCCCCACCTCTCTTTTTGAGTCCGTCAGTCTCGGGGTCGTCTTCGGCGCCGTCAAGGAATGGTGTTCGAGGCTCATCTTCCTCCAGGATGAACTCTGGGTGAGTCATGAAGTTATGGATGGAGCTTCTGGATTCGGGTTTCTCGAGGCCTTCGTACAAGGAGCTACGGAACGCATTCACCACTTTGATCTGCCAGAAGTGGGGGGCAAACAAAAGAGGGGTTAGTAACGGCTACGAGAGGCCAGAGCTCCCAGGAGAAAGTAAAAATAAACCATAAAGACACAATAAAAAAAACACAACAACAACAACAACAACATCACCACCACTGAACAGACAGCTACGTCAAAATGAGAGGTCTATGGTGAACTAGGAGGGCCAACATGGATCAGACTCAGGCACTAGGTGTGTGATAGGGAATCAACCGACTATGGGGGCGACTTCAGAAGCTGCAAGACAAAGACACAAAACTCAAAAAAAAAAAAGAAAGAAAATATAACAACAGATCACTTGGAATGGATGGAAGCCAGGACTCATTAGTTGTCATTGTGTGCGCACGCGTTATCCGGGTGCATGAACGAGGACAAAACAGTGGAACTACAAACTCCAAAAAAAGAGGTGGGTTAGACAAACAGTGGGTTCACTTCAAGGTAAAAAACAAAAACTACTGCAAGAGCAATGTGTGTGTGCTTGTTCTGTGTCAGTTTTAGATCTACAGAAAGGCATGGGCCTATAAAACAGTGTCACAGAGTTTTCAAGCCCATGGGAAGCAGTTGGTCCGAGTGGATGCCGTGACCAGTAAGACAAGACCCAGCAGAACATGCAAGGAGGAAGCCAGATCTGTGTGAGTTTCCTCACACAGCTGCCACCTGGATCCCAGGCTGGAGCTCTGGATCCTGC